CGGCGGCAGCACCGTCTGTGAGGGGGGGGGCACACCCCGGAGACGCGTGCCACCTCTTCAGACATGCCACCACACCACCCCGCATGTATGAGATCCCGGTGCGACGCTCCGGTGGCATTGCTACCCCCACAGGGGCCCCGTCCCGCCTAACCCTGTAGCGTTTGACCACGAGATCTAGCCCTTTGACTTTGCACAGACGGGCTTTGACCAGTGGACCTCTCCACCCGGTTGTGTTAGGTCAGCCCATAGGAACATTTTGCTTGTCACTTGGTAATTGTTCATTCTTTGCAGCAACTGGATATATTCTAAAGGGGTCCGTATTACCAACAGCCTCATCACCGTCTTGCTGAAGTTACGCTGGCCGATGTTATACTGCCCGGATCCAGTCAGGCACCCGGACCATCGGGTTTTGGCCACGAGCTGGGACCGCTGGGAAGCGGCCCTCCACGCGGACCATGGGACCCATGCCAATGCCGTGATCACTATTTTCTAGGTGAGTTCTCTTCAGAAGCACAAGTCCATTCTAGTTTCATGAGTGATTTAACTCATGGCTTCTTCCATTCTTGTTTCATGCATGATTGTAGAAATTCTATCGAGTTCTTCCGGAGCACAAGGCCAGAGCGGACCAGATCGTGCTGCGCCAATGCAAGAAGAAGGCCCGCCAGATGCATTACGAGGTGCGTTATGTGGCCATCTCGACATACCATCACGACGCTCTTGGTGTGAAGATGACCAAGGAAGAAGCACGGAGGGTGGGCACTACCTTGGAGAGGCATGAGTACTTGGCGGTAAGTATAAAAGATTTTTCATTATGCTTTCATTACCTTGTGGTACATTTCACCGTTTCGTGTTGACATGCCATTATGCTTTCATTATGTAGGTGTGTCCAAATTGGTGTTATGGAAAAGACGAGTCCTGGGCGGCATTGGTGGATCTTTGGTGTGATGAGGCTGGAGCCTGGGCGGCTACGAGAATCAAAAACAAGGATAACCGAGGGAAGGAGGGAGTACATGCTCAGGGAAACCGAAGCCACTTTCTCCACAAGGCACTTAATGTATGACTAACCCCATTAAACATTCTTCTTCTTCTATTTACCATCACTTTCTTATGTATGACTAACCTCTGTTTGGTGGTGCAGGAGGAGAAACTGAAGCGACCGCTCTCACACATGGAGGCGTGGGAGATCGCCCATACGTGGAACGAATCCAAGCCTGGCGAGCCTAAGTACTACGGCAAGAAGACTGCACAAAGGAAGAAGGCCTACTCCGAGGGGTATCTGAAGTTACATCCTGACACACCTGACCCCATTGCGGCGGATCTGGACGATAGGGTGGTGATGGGCATGGGGCCCAAGGAGCACGGTCGGGAGGCGGTTCTCGATGCTGTGATCACTCCTACTATCTCCTACTCACAGCTCCGTCGGATCGACCCGAGCCTGAGCCAGCACACGAGCACGCCAATGACCAGTGCACCGCCACAGTCCCTCTTTCAGGAGCGACAATCTGTAAGTATTTTCCCTCTTATCTCCATTGGTCACTTTATTTTCCGCATTTAGTAGTTTTATGAGTTCCATCATGTCATTCGTAGGCCTACCTGGAGTATACACGCCAGGAGACCATGGCGGCCGGCAGGTGTTCTCAATGGCCAGCAGCAGAGGGTCCTCCAGCACAACCAACGCTGCTGACATTTGAGGAGTTTGTGGCACAGAACGCTGGCCCCTCGCCGGTCAGTTCATCCCCAATCTATTCATCCAAAGCATATCATGCCTTTCAACACAGTCATAAATCCTGTTAATATGTCTTTTCAACATCCAGGGAACCGGTGGATCAACCGTTGGCGGTGGTCTTCGCAGCACTCCCGAGTCACGGAACCCGACCACTCCGATCCACGGAGGCGGAGGCGGAGGTGGAGGCGGTCTTGGCGGTAGCGCTGCCGCGAGCAGTGACGACCTGGGCTTCGGCCGTCTTGGCGATGACGACCTCCGTGGTGCTCGACATCCTGGCGCTTAAGCCTTTGGGTCACATTGTGGCGGTATTGGTGGTGATGATACTTATATGCTTGTGATGTTCCTTATTGTTGTTTGTGAGATTCTTATATGCTTGGTGGTGATGATACTTATATGTTTATGCTATGGGATGCTTCTTATGATGTGTGATGATGAATTTGTTGTGGGATGCTGCTCCTTATTGTTATGTGATGCTGCTTCTTATGTGATGCTGCTTCTTATGATATATATGTTGTATATATTCAAATGAATTGAGCTAGAAAAAAAAACAGAAAAAAGAAAAAAAAAACAGACGCAAACTATGCCGACGGCCAGGCCGTCGGCATAGAGCTGGTGTGAGCTCTCAGTGGCTGACACGTGGGCATCTATGCCGACGGCCTAGCCGTCGGCATAGTTCTAGACTAAGCCGACGGCTAGGTCGTCGGCATAGATGCCCACGTGCCAGCCACTGGGAGCTCCTGGGGCAGGGCTATGCCGACGGCCTAGCGGTCAGCATAGCTTCCAACTAAGTCGATGGCTAGGCCGTCGGCATAGCCCTGCCCCAGGAGCTCCCAGTGGCTAACACGTGGCGAGCAGCCGTTGGTCAGCAATTGGCAGCGGCCGCCGTTAGGCGACAACGTTGCCGACGGCCAGGGCCGTCGGCATAGATGTACGGACACCGTCGGGATAGGGCCTATGCCGACAACCTTTCTATGCCGACGGCCTCCCTGGTACGCCGACGGATATGTTGTCGACGGCCCTATGCCGACGGGGCCGTCAGCATAGGCCTGTCCCGACGGCCAGTCAGGGCTATGCCGACGGCCGAATCTGGTAGTGAGGGAGCAAGCGCTGGCGATGGCGGTTGTCGAGCATGAACTTATCGGTGGAGGTGGTACTGCGCCATAACTTTCAGACAGCACGACAGCGAAGGACATCCTTGGGGGGCAACCGGACGAGGATCTCTTCAATGACAATCCACTCGGGCAGGTCGTCAAGGACGGTCATGTGGCTTCTTTTCGTCATAGTGATTGACCGCCACCGGTGTTCCGTCAAATCTACGGGAAAGAAAAAAAAATGGGGATGATTGCGCTTACCCATACCACTAAATTCAACTTGGCTAGTACATAACAGTAGTACTTGGCACATGTCAAAG